CCATGGCCACCGTCCTGCTGTCTAGATCAACCAACACCTTTTCTGGGCTCTGATGAGCGTCGGCATCGGGCGCCTTAACCCGGCGTTCGGTTCATCCCGCAGCGCCAGTTCTGCTTACCAAAAGTGGCCCACTGAGCACTCGCATTCCACGGCGCGGCTCCACGCTATGTCCTTATCAAGATCATCAATAAGGATGTTAAACAGAAATGGTCTCAACACTGAGCCCTTCACGCATTCCTCTGTAAACTGCCTGGCTTTGTTCTTTCTCCACTGGCCCTGGCTTTGCTTTGTGCCCTCTATATCATCATCATCATCATCATCATATCATCATCATGAAATGGTTTGAGTTGGAAGGGACCTTAAAGATCGTCTAATTCCAACCCCCTTCATAAGCAGTGCGGGAAACGGTTCTTCTTCCCCACGTAAGTCTAAACAAAATGCCTTTTAAGCCAGCAAAGGCCTCTCCTGATCATACCCAGCTAACAGACCAAAACCAGGCCTGCTGCTCAAGGACAAGTGAAAGCAAAACAACAGACGTGGCACAAGGCAGGAAGGATGGGCAACAAGTTATGCATTGCCCCTGCTACTTACCCCCCTAACTTGGGACTCATGAATGCCAACTGGCTGTGGATAGTGAAACTGGATGGAGAGGTGGGTCACGGGGGTATAAAAAGGCGGCGAGTTCAGCAGATGGGACCAAGGTCTGCTCAGACGTTTCCTGCATGGGACACCCCCCTGCTGCCTGCCCCTTGGGTCATCGGGTCCTTCCTCCAGCCGTCAGAGCCGGGGCCGGAGCCCCTCTCCCCCAGTTTTGCTGCTGGTTGCCAGGGAAACCAAAGCGCTGCTGCTGCTGCCGAGTCGCGAGGGGATGCACCCCCGAAACCGCGGATTTCGAGATCCTGCTGTAGCTGCCTGCCCTGCCTGCCGCTCAGCCCCGGGATTGGAGCCTGCCCGGCCCGCCCGCCCGCTGCTGCTGGGGGGTCACCCTACGGACCTGCTACCAAGCCGTGCCAGCTGGAAAAGAAGCCGCATCTCAGGAGCCACACACTACGGAAGGGTAAACACCCACACCCACCCACGCACACCAACACACATACTCGGGCTCGAATCCTCCCTCCCTTCCTCCATCTCCTTTGATCCACAACCCTCCCTCGGAGAGAACACCTTAAGGGCACAGCACTTTTTGCATTACCTCCCTAAAGGACACTACTTCCCTGATATATCCCTGGTAGCCATTTGCCATTTGTACATTTTCCCTAAGCCTAATCCCACAGTTTGTGTTAACCCTTAATAAACTGGTTAATTTGTAAACTAAGCATTGGTCTCAGTAGCAAGTTGTGAGCATGGTGGGGGTGTGTTCTAACTACCACTCTAAAATACGGTCCCACAATGGCCATTCCTCTGTGAAAGGTGAATGCCACATGTAAGCCCTCGGTCGTATTCAACAAAACCCTCCAAACTGGGGGGGGGAAGTTGCAAAAGCATCATGGCAGCCGATAGCCCCCCTGGCATCGGCTCATGACAGGCAGTGATTAATCCATTACCCCTTATCCTCTCACTACCAGCCCTTGTAAAAAGCCCCTCCTCAGCTTTTCTGTAGCCCCGTCAGGCACTGGAAGATGCTATAATGTCTCTCTGGAGCTTTCCAGGCCAAACAACCCCAACTCTCTCAGCCTGTCTTAGTAGGAGAGGTGCTCCAACACTTGGACCATCTTTGTGACCCTCCTCTGGACTTTCCTCAGGAGCTCCATGTCCTTCTTATGTTGGAGGCTCCAGAACTGGACACTGTTCTCCAAGTGGGATCTCCTGAGAGCTGAGTAAAGGGGGGAGAATCACCTTCCTGGACCTACTGGCTGCACTTCTTTTGAAGAAGCCCAGGAGAGTTGGCTTTCCGGGCTGCAAGCGCACATTGCTGGCTCATGGTGAGCTTCTCCTCCACCATCTCCCCCAAGTCTTTTTTCTCTAGGCTGCTTTCAATCCAGCCTTTATTTGTTCTTGGGATTGCTTAGACCCAGGTGCAGGACCTTGCACTTGGCCTTGTTGAACTTCATGCAATTTACACAAGCCCACTTCTCAAGTCTGTCCAGGCCCCCCTGGATGGCATCCCTTCTCTCCAGCGTGTTGACCTCACCACACAGTTTGGTATGGGGCACAAGGGAGTTTCTAACATGCTTGTTGTGCTCATTCCAATGTGGGACAGCACAAAACTAGTAATGCCTTTTCTTTCCTGACTGCCTGCAACTCCTCATGCTGTTAGCATGTGTTGATGGATCACCACAACCTGACTGAGCCCCCTGTGTGCAAGTGTTAGGAGCTGACCAAGTGGAGCTTCAGTCCAGGAGGCTCTTTAGAAAGTCTTGGACTCAGCCAACAGAAACCTCTGGCATTATACAAGAAGTGACCAGTTCTGCATTGGAGGCAGGTGGGGAAGAATACCCCATGTGTCAAGGAACCTGACCAACTGAGCAGAGACCCTGAGGCTGCAAACCATACCTGTGCCCACCTCTTCTGTCCAACACAATGCCAGGAATATGCTGACCCCAGAGATCACCCGTGCTCTCCAGGAATTTCCATGTGTGCTCCCAGAGAATGGGTGTGTTCAGTGTCCCTTGTGGGAAAGCCCTGGGGACACCCCTCAATGACACTCACCTACTTACCTGTCACCACGCACCCACTGCTGACTCCTAAATCCAGTCCTACACCTCTAAAAAGTCACAAAAAAGACCCATATCTTTTTGGTCAAAAAAACATGGAGGAAGACAAACTCCTGAGATGCTGTTCCTGGGGCGTCTTTGGAGAAAGCCCAGCATGAAAGACCTGCACTGGGGAGATCCCACTTGATTACAGCAGTGCGATGAACAATGCCAGCTCTTAGCCAGTGTTGGACTCACTTTTATAAGGGCGCCAGGTGACACAGGGTAGGTCCATCCCTCAGGTGCAAAGAAAAAATGCAAATATTTCTGTAGGAACATAATAACCAAGAAAGAACAATATAACAACAGTACTTACAAACATAATTAATTGGAAAAAAAAAACAAAAACAAAAAAGGTGGACTCAAAGACTGTGGGAGTGGTTTGTGATAGAAAATTTCTTATTCTTGATAATTTCTTCAAGGAATCAGCTTTCTAATGGCATCTTTGAGCTCTTGGTTCCTCAAGCTGTAGATGAGGGGGTTCACTGCTGGAGGAATCACCGAGTACAGAACTGCCACCTCCAGGTCCAGGGATGGGGAGGAGATGGAGAGGGGCTTCAGGTAGGCAAACATGCCAGTGCTGACAAACAGGGAGACCACAGCCAGGTGAGGGAGGCAGGTGGAAAAGGCTTTGTGCCTTCCCTGCTGAGAGGGGATCCTCAGCACGGCCCTGAAGATCTCCACATAGGACACCATAATGAAAACAAAACACCCAAAAGCTAAACAGGCACTAACCACAAAAAGCCCAACTTTCCTGAGGTAGGAATGTGAGCAGGAGAGCTTGAGGACTGAGGGGATTTCGCAGAAGAACTGGCCCACAGCATTGCCCTGGCAGAGGGGCAGTGAAAATGTATTGGCTGGATATAAAAGAGCACTGAGAAAGCCAGTGGCCCAGGCAGCTGCTGCCATGTGGACACAAGCTCTGCTGCCCAGGAGAGTCCCATAGTGCAGGGGCTTGCAGATGGCTACATATCGGTCATAGGACATGATGGTCAGAAGACAATACTCTGCTGTGATGAAGAAGACAAAGAACCAGAGCTGTGCAGCACATCCTATGTGGGAGATGGCCCTGGTGTCCCAGAGGGAATTGGCCATGGACTTGGGGACGGTAGTGGAGATGCATCCAAAATCAAGGAGGGAGAGGTTGAGCAGGAAGAAGTACATGGGGGTGTGGAGGTGGTGGTCCCAGGCGATGGTGGTGATGATGAGGCCGTTGCCCAGGAGGGCAGCCAGGTAGATGCCCAGGAAGAGCCAGAAGTGCAAGAGCTGCAGTTCCCGAGTGTCAGCAAATGCCAGCAGGAGGAACTGGGTGATGGAGCTGCTGTTGGACATCTGCTGCTTCTGGGCATTGAGACCTGTCCAGAGAAGAAAAGACAGGGAGAAGTTAGCTCAGACTTCTCTCAAAAAAATCTACTGAACTGCTCTTAGAGACCTACAAACTTCCTCTTTCTAATCACAGAGGCCTCTTACAGGTGCTTTTGGTACATGCTGGTTGCACTGGCTGATGGTCCCCTAGGAGCTGTGAGCTCTGCAGGAGTCAGCCTTGCCCTACAGCAGCAGGTAAACTAGAACATGGGGTGACCTCAGATTAGATCCACTCTTGTCACCTTCAGCATTGTCACCTTCAGCATTGTCACTCCCAAGTCACCCAACTGCAGAGCAGGGGATTTTGGGTTGTTTCTTTTCCTCTAGTTTCCCCTCCACACCTGAGGAGAGTTTTAAGGCAGAAACCCCTTTCAAGTGAAACACTATGGGTGCTGAGAGGCAAAGGGACTGTCCCTTAGTGCAGGGTGAGGACAGCCAGTCTGGCCATCTGTCCTGCTCTCAGCTGCCCTGTGCTGGCATGTGCTGTACTTCTTAAGAGCTGGAGGATGGTCAGCACCAGATGTTCACTGAGAATCCTGACTCTGCTAAGAGCAGAGGAGTCAGAATAGCCAGTGCAGCTCTCCCAGCCCCTCAGCCCATCTCATTGTCCCTGAGCAGGATCTCAGCTCTGCTCCGTCAGCCAAGGACACATAGGGCTCACTGCAGCTGCCTACACTCAGCTCTGCTGTAGGGTTTCCATGGCCTTGGCACTGGCTTGTCTTTCAAGCTCTTTCCCACTTTGAAGAAATGCTGAAGCATAAAGTTTAAAACCCCACCCTTCAGAAGCTCCCAGGACACCACTCTACTCTCCTCAGCCTGCACAGAACAGAGCCCTGGGCCCTCAGCCTCTCTAGACTGACCATGTACTTGAAGCCTCCAAAGGGGGAGCTGTGCCCTTCTGGAGGGCAGCGTGCCACTCAGCAGGACCCTGCAGGGGAAGACCCTAATATCCCAAAGATGGGGTATCCTGACAGGAGGGTCAGCTCACTCCCAGCCCCACACCCTGCAGTCCCCACAGCCACAGGTATCAGGCCATTTGGATGCTTTCCCTCCATGGACACACCGGCAGGACAGGACACCCAGCATCCGTGTCTGAGCTGCACCCAAATCCTTACCTCCCACCACAAGGAAAAAAAAGGGGAAGAACAAGGACAGCATTGGCAGGAGGGGAACATGCCAGAGTTCTGTTGACAGGAGTGTCAGGACAGGGAGACACAGTCAGACACAGGCTTTTCTCTCTTCTGTGGTGTTGGGACTGCTGGGAAGGAAATTCAGGATTAAGTCCCAATGACATGAAGGGGTGGGGGACTCTTCTCCGTGGGAATGGAGACCAGGGAGTTGCTCCAGGAAAATCATCAGCCCTGCAGGGAGGGCAGCAAGGTGCCCAAATCCCCTTTCCCATGACTTTCAGGCAGCAGCTCCCTCTCCCTCCTTGCCCATGTCCCTGCTGCCTGGAGCTGTCTCTGCTGGGAGCTGCTTCTCTGTCTCCATGTGCCCCCCTTAGCAGGGCTCCCAGAGCCCACCCCACCCGCCGGGTGCTCAGCTCTGCCTTGAAGATACCTCTTGCAGCAGGGACATGCCCAGGGGCATCTCTGGGTTCGCAGGGGCTCAGGAGCAGCTCAGACAAGTCCCAGTTACAACTAGGGTTTCGCTGCCTTCTTCAGAGTGGAGAAGTAAATTCTAATCTTCCACTGCCTACCCAGACCACCAAGAGCAGAGAACTCAAAGCACAAGCTGCTTTTGTCCCAGGTAACTTCTCCATCTCTGTGTTGCTTCAAAAGAGCCCTCTGCAAATATCCTGGGGGTGATCTGCAGCTATCAGCAAGCCTCACCCACACAGCAGCTACTCGAAAGCAGAAAGACTCTGCCTTGCCCTGCCAGGAGTTGAAAATGTCCATGCTGAGCTTCGACCCACAGAGCCATGGGGAGGACCCAGGGCAGGTTGAGAGCTGAACCTGGCAGGCAGCAGAGCCCCTGCCCCAGCACCCAGCCCCTGGGCAGCAGGACCCTACTCTGAAGGACAGCCCAGGGCACCCCTGTCTGCACACATGCCCACACAGCAATCCAGTTTGCCCACAAAATCACCCCCACTCACACATCCCTTCCACTTCCTTCCAGATCCCACAACCTGTGGCTGTGCCAGCTTTTGAAGATGCCTCCAGGAACTTCACCTGCATTGACCTGCACCACAGACTCACCGTGTCAAGGTCTACACAGATTTCTCCTCCACTGAGTTCTCACCTCCCCACTCCTGATCACATTTAAGCTCTCTCTGCCTTGCTCATCTCCCTCAGATACCTGGCAGTGTCCTTGTCCCTGCTGCACTGGGCAGAGAAGCTGCTCCTGGGAAGAGCTGTCTCACTGCAGCACTGCCTGTCAGCTCTCTCCATCCCAGGAGCCCAGCTCAGAACGTTAATGAGCCCTCTGGTGGCTTTGCTGCTGAATCCATGAAGCTCAGACAAAGAGAGGAAGCTGATGAAGCCTCTCCAGAAGTCCAGGTCAGAGTCCAACTCCAAAGTTTCTGGCAGTGTTCATGGGTCCCAGTGAGGGACACGACTGAGGAAGCATCCCCAGGGTGTGGGCAGAGCAGGAAAGAGGAGGCAGTGATGGCAGGTGGGGAAAAGGAAGATGAAGGTGTCTCTGGTGTTGAGGAACCTGGATATGTTTCCTGACTGCAAAGGGCCAATCCCTGACCACCTTCTCCAGAGGTTACAGCCCTGACACCCACTCTGTTAGAAGGGAGATCATGTCCCTCCTACATCCCTTGGGACTCTCCCTGGGTCACTGGGGTCTGGAGACTGGCCATGTGCTTGAGGCAATCACACCTCATCTTGGGACATCTCTGGACACTCTCCATAGTGTTTGCAGATGAAAACATGGTGGTCATAAGCCAGGAAAGATGGAGTGAGACTTTGTAGTGAGGCCTGTGGTAGCAGTCTTTAAACTGAAAGAAGGAAGAGTCAGATTGGATATAAGGAAGAAGTATTTTAGGATGAGGGTGGCAAGACACTGGAACAGTGCAGAGAGAAGTGGGTGCCCCATCCCTTGAATTGTTTTTGGTCAGGAATTTTGAGTAACCCGATTGAGTGAGACATGTCCCCATGGCAGGGGGGTTGAACTAGGTCTTGAGGGTGGGAGATTTCTGCATCTAGGTCTGAGACTTATGATGGGAAAGCCAGACACCACCTTTGGGGATTGTGCAAGTCTTGCCCTGGGATGCCAAGGAAAGGACCAAAGGAAGGGCAAGGGTGGGTTCCAGGTGATTTATGGAAGAAGCAGCATGGGAAAAGCAACAGAGGAAAGGTGTGAAAGGAGCTGGTCATGTGTCCACAGGGGCTGGTCAGTGTCCTGCCCTGGCCATGCCCTGCAGCTGATCTCTGCAGCCTGTCTTGTTTTCTTCATACCTTCCTCTCCAGTAGCTTTCTGGGGTGAGGGAGCTCTCTGCTCTTGGTACAGGCAAAAGTCAGAATACCAGCCACTGGTGTGGGAACCACAAGTCATTAGGTCTTGTACTCTTTTTGGGGCCAGTGACTGGTGAAACATGGGTGTGTGGATCCGACCATGGTGTGCATCTTGGTGGATGTAATTGAACATTATCCCAGATATGGCCATCGGAGCCAGTGGGACACATTCCCCATGTAGAAAGCCACCTGCACGTGGGGCTGCACATGTGGGGCTGAATTAGGGGGTGTGTGGCCATCCAGGCAAGGGAGTTCTCATCCCCCTTAGCTCAGCACTGCCGTGGCCACATCTGGATTATTGGTGTCTGGCTATGGGGCTTACTGGTGTGGGGAATGGGGAAGAATTGCACTAGCTCCAGAGGAGATCTACCAGGATGGACTTTGGGACCTGTGTGGAGAGGCTGAAGATCCTGGGCTTCTTCAGCCTGGTGAGATAAATGCTCAGGGCATTAGTGGAGCTGCAGTAGTAGCCTCCTTGAAGGGTGGTTTCAGAGATGATGGATCTTTTCTTGTAGTGGGAAGAGAAGGAAAACTCCACAAAGTGCATATTAGAAGGCCCAGATTGGAGGTGAGACAAAAGCAACAACATTCAAAGAGTAGCCTTGTGCTGCAACAAGTCAACCAGAGGGAGTCAGGATCAGCCCCTGGCTTTGTGTTTCAAGGAACAGCCAGTGAGAGCAGAGACAACAGTGAAGGTGTAGAAATGCCAGGGTGAGACCCAGGTGGGACAGCAAGAAGGGTGTCAACAGCCTGAAGGGAAGGAGTGGCAGGCATGGACCAGTGTAGGACAGCCTGCAGGAGAGGTGGCCAAAGGCTCTGGCAAGATGGAAAGGCCCGACAGCACTGAGGGCTTTGTCCCATTGGGGACAACAAACTGTGGAGGGATTTTTAATACAGCCAGTTGTGGAAGAATTTCTAATACAGCAGGGGCATGATTTTGTGAGCCTGGAAGAATTTAACAAGCTTTGCTGTAGCAGCAGGGTATGAGACTAGCCATTGTTCCTCTTCAAAGCCAGGCTTGTCTTTGGCCTTGGGAATCCAAGGAAATGTATCTTGTTTGGGCATCCAAGGATGAGAAGACTGCAGAAATGTAACTACCTGGTGCTTATAATGCATAAAGGCTTAGTGTAATGCATAAAGGCATATAACGTAATGAATAACCAATAGTAAAGTAAAATCTGCCGAGTGAACAGTGATATTTAGCCAATCACATAAGGTATCTGTCCGCAAGCACAGCTGCCTGGACAGTAGCTTAAAGGTATATAAGAGGTAACTGAACTAACAATAAAGTGGAACAATATGAAAAGTCATATTGGTTGTTGTGTCGTTACTCGGCCCTGCTCCCGATTGGATTTATCGCAACAACAAACAAAGAAGTTTTTTTGGCCACCAAGGCTGCTGAGATGAAACTTTATTTAGAGGCTCTCAGGATCTGCCTTCCCAGGGCCTGGGGTCAGGACTTAGCCCTTCTGCTCCATCGGAGAAACCAAAGGGCTTTCTCAGCAT